CCGTGGGGTTTGTGGAGGGTCATGAATCAGACCGATGCTCCCCGGCCACTCAACTGGACCATCCGCAAGCTCTGCCATGCCGCCTTCCTCCCCTCCGTCAGACTTCTTAAGGTAAGGTGACAGCCCGCCGGGGGAACCGCAGCCCGCCGCTCGGCATCTGCCCGGAGGGCTGCAGGCGCTGTTGCTGGAAAGTTAATTCAGAAATAGTCCCAACTTTGCTATTAATTAGCTTCCCTGCTGCCTTGAAAACCCCTTGCTAGTCGCTGAAGATGCCAAAATTGTGTGTCTGTGCTCCCGTTCGGCACGTTTTTTTCTGTGGGGAAGGGTCTGTGAGAGGGGTAGAAGGGGAGTAAGGGATGGTGGATATCATCTGTGCTTCTGTTTGCCTTGCCTTAAAAAAATCAAGCCGCGAACTTCTAGGGATGAAGAAGTAGTCCGTTTATAAGGTGTGTTCCTTTGTGAGTGGCTCCCTGGTATCTGCTCTTTGGGGTTATCTCATCCCTATTAAATACGCGAATGTCCACTACTACTCGGAACAACTTGTAAGTGGAGCAGGCTGTGAGTGGACAAAAATCATCTTGGTTTGTTGAAAGCTGTTACATAGGAATAGGGTCAGTTAAAGACTGGCAGTGCAGACAGCATCAGTGAAACTTTCTGATGGTGATTTTTTGTTTAAACCAAGTGACACAGTTTTGAAGGTGTTTTTGGTGGTGTTTTAAAATGTGCTTTCCTAGGAGGTAATTATTAATTATTCAAAAAAAATATTTTGGATTATAGACAGCGGAGAGCTCTTAATCTCAGCACGTAAACTACCACTACTATTGTGTGTCCCACTGAAGCTGTTTTAGACGCATTTGTAACTGCAAAACAAAATATCTTGAATCAACTTTGTGATAAAAAAAAATGTTACATTAAACTCAAAAGTCTTCTTTGTTCATAGAACTTCTTAATTAAATGGATTATACAATGAAAACTTAATATAGTTAGATCCCTTTAGGTTTCTGCACCTGCAGTATGGTTTATAAAATGTTGGATTAATGACACTAATTATATCAGTTCATCTTAGTACTTGGTAGTTTGGCTTTGAAATTAATATGCAGCCAGGTAAAACATGGCTACTCTAACAGTGTATTAGAAGGTAATGTTTGACATAACCATTCGATTTTGTGGGGGTTGCTTTCAAATTAGGTCAGTCCTTACTAATGCAATATCTTTGAATAGTAGTGTGGCGTATGATAGTGTGCTTAGCAGGTGTATATTGCACGTACAGTTATTGTACATGCGATGCACAAGTGACCATACTGTGTATCGTAACAGGTATTTGTCACATCCTGACAGGAAGGGGCTACCCTTGAAAAATATTTCTGCTTCCAAACCAGATGTATGACTGCTGGGAGGTACACTGTGAGCAGCTCCAAAGAACAGAAGAAAGATAACACTTAGATTGCTGAAAAAATCAAAATATAACTAATACAGAACAAATCAGAAAAGTGATGTTGATTCTCTTGCAAAGGCTTTTCCCCCTCCCCCCCACCGCAGAAGCACACATTAGAATATCCATACTCTACAAGTCAGATACATTCAGGAAAACATCATTTTCCCAAGGAGTGAGAACACAGATGTGGGGAATTTTATTGTCATTTTCAATATCAGGAAAGAAAAAAGGAGTCTGCAATATTTCTTTTTTGGCAGACAAATGTTGCCCCCTGTGTATGGTTTCTCTTCATTGCACGTTTTAAGGGTGAACGTTGCAATTAATTATTAAAAGAGCTGACCAAAAATGATTTTCTGAAGCTACAGCTATAACCCTTTAGGGCCAGATAGGGAGCGGACCCTGCGGAGTTAACAAGAGCAGGGCAAATAACCAGAGATGAGCAGCCTCTGCACGGAGGGGTGTGTGAGGTGTGCGAGAGACCACAGAAAGGAGGTGGGACTCTGGCACCTTCCTGAGCTGATGCACAGAGCTGGTTGCTTGGAGAAGGAAATGCATGTATCAGCATCTTCCGGGCTCCCAATCAGCTTAAAATTTTGCTTCCAATGTATACTTCTTATCTTTGTCTTTTATTATTTAACATGTTCAAAGCAAGTGAGTCATGTAACAGCAGGGCCCCATTGTCCTAATTCCCCAAGAGCCAACCTGAAGGAATTCTCCTGTCATGAAGAGCTATTAAGGGAAGAGTGTGATAACAGCAGCATTAAATTGCCAGATGATAAATTGCCAGTATAAATATTTTCCTGGGTTTTTTTTTTCTCAGGGAATTTGAAATTTTTTTTTTTATACAATTCACCTATCAGAAGGGTGTGTCTATTTTTTTCTCTTGTGTCTTTCTCCAAAAAATAAAGAAGAAACCTTTTTTTCTAAATGAGAAGGTGTCTTTTAAATCCACAAACATTGGAAAGGCAAGTGCAGTGATCTAAGCTCATTTTTTAATTGCCCAGTTTCCAAATATATTAAGTGTTCATAAGGACTAATACAATATTGTTTCTCAGTGGATATCTAGTAGACCCGTTTTATACAGTCTTAATCTGCAGAGAATGCCTTCAATAACAGAATAAACTTTGCAAAAGCTGATATGTAATGGCACATTTTTATTATTATCTGCTTTACCTATGGTTGCCAAACTCTATTTGAATGTACGCTGTAAATTTATTAAGAGTAAAAGAATGTAAAATATCATAATTTCATTGTCATTTCCATGCTTTATTATAGTCTACCAGGACAAAACAACTAAATGACATTATTATTATGACATATTACTGCGTCCAGCTCTGGAGTCCTCAACATAAGAAGGACATGGACCTGCTGGAGCGTGTCCAGAGGAGGGCCACAGGGATGATTTGAGGGCTGGAGCAACTCTTCTGTGAGGAGAGGCTGAGAGAGTTGGGGCTGTTCAGCCTGGAGAAGAGAAGGCTCTGGGGAGATCTTATTGCGGCCTTCCAGTACCTAAAGGGGGCCTACAGGAGAGACAGGGAAGGACTTTTTACTAGGGCATATAGTGACAGGATGAGGGGGAATGGATATAAACTGGAAGAGGGCAGGGTTAGGTTAAACATCAGGAAGAAATTTTTCTCTTTGAGGGAGGTGAGGCACTGGAACAAGTTGCCCAGAGAAGTTGTTGAGGCTCCATCCCTGGAGGTGTTCAAGGCCAGGCTGGACGTGGCCTTGGGCAACCTGGTCTAGTGGGAGGTGTCCCTGCCCATGGCAGGGGGGTTGAACTCGATGATCTTCAAGGTCCTTTCCAACCTAAACCATTCTATGATTCTATGATTATTAAATTCAAGGATACACCTTTGCCTGAACTTGTATGAATAAGAGATAGCAGACATTTCTTGTTTTACACACGAAAAAATCACTGTGGCATGACCTGGACCTTGGTAATAAACAGCACGAACTTTTCAATTAATTCCATGTCCTCTTAATAAGTAGTCTGAAGTTCTTATCCTGTGGATACAGTTTTAAGTGTAGCATCGGTCCTTTCACACTCATAGATCTAAACAAACACTGGAATCTAAGACTTGCAGGGAGGCCTCTCAGTTTATATTACTCACTAACAAACCTGTGGGATTGTCTTGAAATGATTGGTTTTAAATAAATAATAAAAGGTGTTATTCAACAGGTAGTCTATGCTCTTATTCTGTTCCGTTGAAATGATGTGCAGTGCTCCGTTGCCTGAACTGACATTTGATACTGCTCTGGCCACAGTGACCTCATTTGATTTAAATAAACTAGGATCATTTGCAAACGCTGTCCAGCTTTGCTCCCTGTGCTTTTCTTCCAGGCATGTGTTCCTGTTCTAACCCACTTCACTAATACCCTCATGTTTGGGTACGGTTTTATAATCCTGTTTTCTCAATTTTTCGTTTTCTAACAGGCACACAGAATACTAGGAGCTGTATCTGAAGTAGAGATTGAAACAAATTATTGGAGAATATTTTTACGACTTGTGTCATCAGCTCATCCTTTGCTACTCTCATTTTTCCCCCTAATAAATATTTCCTGTAGCACTTTCTATGCTGGTACTTTCTGTAGTTGTTTCAATATGCTTAAACACATGCTAATGCACTGCCTAATGCCTTTCCTTCTGAAGTAAGAGGATTAAGAAGTGCCTTGAGCACATGTGCAGAGAGGGTGGCTTTGTGCAGAAAGGGAAACTGTCATTTCCTTAGACGGTCAGGTTAGTTTCCAGAAGTGGCTTTCCAGCAGTGACTTGTCCAGCTTCTGTTTCTCTGCCTGAGTTCTGAAGCTTGTTTCTTTGTGTGTTTGGCCAAGGTCTTGTTACCTTGATGCTTTTTTATTTCTTTTAAGGTAGGGTTAATATTAGTGGCAAGCAGCCGTGGTCCACTTTGTGCCATTGTATATGTAAGAGCTATTGTTCCAGTAGCAGAAAGCTCTGGTAGTCTGTTTGTTTCACGGTGGAGGAGAGTTTCTGAGTCTCCACATGTCAGAAGAAGAGATTGCCTCCCAAGAAAGGAAGCCAAATCCCCATGGCAGGATTTAGAGAAAACAGACCTTTTAGAACAATGTTGTCTGCTCTAAAAAAAAAATAATGAATGACAGCATAGTAAAGACTTCACTCAGAGGACCTTGTGCCCTCAGAGAGACTGCAGATGTTGCACTTCTGCTTGGGACAGGTAAGATACATGCCAGGGGATCAAGGAATAAGCAATAGACTAAAAAAACCCAAACAACTGAAAAATAAAAGGTCTGTAATGTGCAATAAGTCTAACACCACAGATTTAGAGATGTGCATATGCAGAAGTACTGCACTAAAAATTTAGAAAGCAACAAATTGCCCAGCCTATTTTTTCTTAATAAGAATACTAACATTTTTTATAATGAACTTGAATTGCATGTCAGTAAGTAGACTTAGAAGGTGGGAACTTTGGAAGGATCAGAGGAAGGGAAACAGAGTGAATCAGAAGAAACACTGGAGAAAATGTTTCGGCTAATTTTTCCCAGAGTATGGTTGAGTAAAAATGCCTGCTCAGCTATCCAAATAAATACAAGGAACGTTTACCTAACCTGAGCAGTAGCCTAAACTAGATCCAGGAACTGCTGGAAGCTTAAAGAGATCTAAATTTCTTGCCAAATAGGAAAACATTTTTTTTTT